GCAATTAAAAAACAAAACAGCAAAATAAACAATAGATTTCCATATATTACTAAAATGTACTTTAGTGAAAAAGTTTATGGAGTTACAGAACAAAACAAAGGTGGGTTAAACCTAAACTTTATGTCAAGATCTTTGAACAAGAAATTAAGCTTGCTTTTCCTTTACATTCATTACTTGCTTAAAATAAAAGCAAGCTCAATAAAAACATGTGGCCTAAAACAAAACTTGTCGAAATTGTCTAAGGATGCACCGATCCATAATTTCTTCACTTTCGATTCGATACTCGAATTTGGATATCAGTAGAACCTGCTACATTTCTGATAGCAGAGCTTTAATTTAAAAAAGTTTGCTTTAATATCATGAAATGATTTTCTTTTATTGATTTTTTAAAAGGTAATCAAAAACTCCTCTCTACCAGTAAGTTGATCTTTTTAAATGTATACATATATATATTCCAAAAGTCATAAACACAGTAAAATGTGTTAAAAGAACAAATGCCATCTAAAAAACAAATTGTACAGGTTGAAGCTGGCAACATTTATTAAATCAAAGATGGATGCCCATGAAGAAATAAACTTTCTGCTGTTACAGAAATTTTTAACCTAACTTAAATGCATTACAGAAACAGACTGAGCACATTGCCCATATGAATCGAGCTCTTTGTCCCCAATACTTGATCTAGAATGTTCAATATAAGGATACAGCTCTGGATCGATGCATCACTAATATTATGTGCTTATAACTCTTTACTTTAAATATCTTGAACTTTTTTTTTAAGCTTTATCCAAAAATGTAACACAAATTTACTTGATAATAGTTTGACTCAAAGATAAATGTAATTCTGTCACAGAAAGAAGAAAGAACCCTTTCTTGTACGCTGTAGCAATAATATCACTAAGTTACAGACTTTAATATTTTATACATGGTCAAATATTTTCTTTGATTCCTATTACTCTGAGTACAGTTGCATTTAATTTAGCCTTTTTTTGTGTTTTCTTATGTTGATTCTGCTAATCAGTTTGAATGAAAACAGCAAAATAATAATTCAAGTGGATTCTAGGAGTATATTAAAATCTCCAAAGCTCCATAGTTAAAGAACTACTTGTTTAAGTCACATTAGTAAAGAACTGTAGCTAAACTATTTTTCATATCGAATTTTTGCTATTAAATATTAATAAAACTAACCCCAAACAACTCTTTGAGCTCATGCATAGGGAACTTAAGCCCAGGATATTCAAAAGAAATTGTAAAAATAATGATTTAATCTTTTAATTTCCTAAGCAAGGTAGAAGAGAAAGTACGAAGTAAGGTAAGGTAGGTAAAACTACTATAAAGATTAAATTTGTAGCTATATATAGTCGTTTAAACCTGCATGTAAGACTACAGTTAAAAACTATTCATTTTAATTTTTCAGTTTCTCATATCATAAAAAAAACCCACCATAAAAACCATTGATGTTAATAACTTCCTACAATTTATACCATTGCACATGAATGTGCGCTTCAGTGGCTGCAGTGAGCAGATGCCTCTATAAAAATTGTGATCCCCTATGGTTTTTCTATATACGGCCGCTGCCAGACTGTATGGAAGAGTTTAATGTTGTGTAGCAATATTAGGTTCTTTCCTGCGTATCAAACGTGCTGGGCCTTTTACTGTGATGTGCTGTCTGGTTCTGATAACACCTGGCAAAGAATCCTCCATGTTGTCTAATGGGGCACATAAAGTACATATGGGCAAATTTTACAAAGATATCTTATTTATTTTTCCCTTACAACTTTTTAAATAAATATAACCATGCATCCAAAATAAATTGTAATCCTAAATTGAATTTAAAAAGGTTAGAGTTATAGTGGAGGATGTTCTTTTTCTGAGTGGATCATCAAAATAAGTGTTCCTCTTAATTGTCAATCATTCTGGTGATATGTTTACGTAAGGCCGTCCTACGTGTTCCTCCCCATTTTCATTTACCTGTGCCAAGTCTGACATAGTGGAAAAATTGCAAATCTTCTTTTGGAAAGTAAGCTTGTATGAGCGATACAAACAGCAACTTTTAAAGAGAGGCGAAAAGGACTCGTGCACTCATGGAGTTGTGCAGGCTCTCGCACGTGTTCAACAGGCGTTCCCTCTCGGGAGCAGGTACAAGGTTGTGCATATGCAATTTATTTCAAAAAGTGGAGAGGGTGGGTGTTTACAAACATTTGTGAAAATTATCCACTAGACCTGTAATATTCATTTACAAAAGGACTTTGTATGATTTTTCAACTATTTGAAGTCACATTTTTTCCCAACAAACCAACAGAACTGATTATTCAGTAATACTTTTTTCCTACTAAAGGAGTTGAGCAGATTTACAGCCTCATAAGACACTTATGCCTGTAATAAACATTTTATTTAAGCCAAGTTTAAAACTTATGTGTTTTCAGAACAAACACTTCCCTCACTACAGGTTATGAGAACTAGAATATATTTCACACACAGTATTACAGTACTATCTAGGTACCTGCTGTATAGCTTTTCAACCTTAGTAATCATAAAAGCTTTGCCTTAATAAAAACACTGAGGATGGAAGGAGGGTAATGGAAGAATACCACTAGCTTTGTTTCCATTCAAATATAATGCTAACTTTGAGCCAACCTTTAAAATGTGATCTAGATGCATTTTCATCCATTGGAAAGAATTAGCCAGTTGATGCAAAGGGCAATGTTGCCATACGTTGATGTTAAGCTTGGCTGTAATAAACAGGAAGTAAGGGGGAGCACAGCAACGCAAACAACAGTTAAGTAATGGAATGTTTTAATAAAGGTGTTGGAATTTGGTACGTTTTACTACCTTTATCATTTTAGCTACTATTTGCGCCAATACGCGCCATCCGGAGATGCGACGAGATCGTGGAATGATTGATGGTGGCAGCAGAATAAGAACTGATTCTAGAATTTTGTTTCCATCTCCTCTTTAGTGCATTTACCCTTTATTCATGAAAAAGTTAAAAACCAAATGAAGTGAGTGTTTTGCTAAGTTAAGTATGTTGATTCACTTTTGCCGTTTCCATCAAGCTATTCTGAAGTTACTTCAAAATTAATGTTGATGGAAACACGTCTACTGTGAGTCAAGGCCACAGAAGAAAACAATGGAAACCACTTAAACAGTAGACCAAAAGTACGGTAACAGACATACAGGTAGCAAAATTACTAGCTTAGAAACAAATACACATCACAAATATAGAGAAATGTCATTCTGACACTTGAATATGAACTTCAGCACAGAAAACATTGGAAGGCTTTTCTTATTTAGCCCAATTAAAACAGGCAAAAAGCCCTAACAAAGGAGTGTTTTATTGCACTCCCCACTATCAGCAAAGAGCCTCATTAGCCACAGCAGCATAATTAGCAAGATGCTGAACTCCTCGTTAAGGAGGGGCCTGAGCCGTAAACAAACCCTGCTGAACTCCAAACACCCACAGTCCCTTTTCTCTCTGTAATGAACTGCCACCGCTGTTCGCTCCTTGTGAGAAAACAGACAGGAAGGCTCTGACAGAAACAAACAGCCCAACATTCACTTCCAAGAGTTGTTGCACATAAGACACCCACAGAACCAACAACCTCCTCTCTGGGATGTCTCTTGAGAACCGTGTGGGCAAGAACACACACAGATACCACTCATTACTATAAAACCTTCATGTATGTCAAATACATTTTTAAAGTACACAGAAAAATGAGCTTCACAAAACTCTGAGAAGAGAACATGCTGAGACCAATCTGGCCAACAGTATGGATCATGGCTTTGGAAATGTTTAAATCTCCAACCTGTCAGTTTTACCTAAGAAAGACTAACAAAAACCACTAGTAAAACAGATCCAATTAAGATCAGACAGAAGATGTATTCATTTTTCTTTTGATAAACTGAACTGCTCTGTATAGGAGGGATTGATGAAGTCACACACATAAGTTTAAAAAAAAACTGCTTTGTTTACCGATCGGTTGAACAATGGTTTAGGTAAAATGATCTCAACCACATATAGTTCTCAGTGCAACGTCAGTCACAGACTAACTATGGTTTTGTGAAGAATTAGATGACTGCTAGTGACAACAGTCACTCAAAAGTTCTCAGCCAGAACATCCCAGGACATCAACATAGAACTTTAACTCCTGCTTGCAATGTAATTATTATCATATTCAGATGGAGCAGTGCTATAAAGAATGTTCATTTAATGTAAATGATATATCAGGATTTTGTTTAAAAAGCTAAATGATTATAATTTTAAAATGATCTGCTTGCTTCAATGTAAATCAGTTTATTAATTACAGACCCTGAAATTAACTCAATAAAAATGTTAAATGGAGTCCACCCGTGAGCTAGCAAAGAAGGGTCTCAAATGCTACTGGTTAGTCCCGTGTAAAGGATGGAGACAGCTTCTCTAAGTATATTTCTTTTAAATATTAAAAACTGCCCCTTAAAAAAAGAATGCCTTTGAATTACACACAAAAAATATATATATATATAGGCTGTAGATGCTTTGTAAGATTTAGTCACCAAAAACTATAAAATTCTAATTTTGGGAGAAACTATGAGGGCGTTAGGTTTTTACCTGAAATAAAGTAGGAAAATTCAAGTGAAACAAGGCGATGAGGAAAAAGAAAGCTTGCCCCCTTGATCAGAGAAAGAGAGCTGCAAGGTGAGTGTACACCAGGGGCCTGTCCTCAATAGAACAGCTACAGGAGTGAATCTGTGCCAAACAAAACATCTAGTGTGTTTTTAAGGTTATCCTTAAAAGCTCACATGGGATTATGTGGAACCCAAATCCTTGAGTGAACATGAGTGGAAATCACAGAAAATAAGAGGGTACAGCAGAGAATTATACCCTTTAGTGACACAGAAAGAAGAAATAAATCAGGGAAGCTGGTACACATACAAACACTTTACTGGGATAAGCCAGGTTTGCATTTAAATGATCTATAATTTATGTTGGGAATATATTGAATGTAATACTTGAAACTTCTCACCTGAAGCAGAGGTCTCTGGACGCCAAGGACCTTCATCGTATCGGCAGTAGCGAGGATTTTCAAGGGGTCAGCAGCCTTACTTACTGCTTCGATTTCCTTGTTGATTTCTGCCCGCACCTGATGGTTCAAGGAGAAAATTTAAAACATCTACTGAATATAAAATCATAGTTGCAATAGTGATGGAAATGATGAATGTACATCGATAATTAATACTTCAAAAAACAAAACAAAAAAGCGAAACTAGTTTTATGTTTTTGTTAATGTACAGGATTTTGTGCTACAATTAAAAAATCTTACTCAAAGCTTTTTCTACATCTTGATTTAGACCCAATCTCTATTCCCCAGCTGAAGTAAGTCTTCTGATGGAGCAATTCAAGATCATATTGAGTTGGTAAGTCAGAACAGAGATACCAGTATGTTTAAAATCTTGACTTTAAAGCGCAATGTTCTGTTAAATTATTTTAAGAATATATTAATGATACTAAGGACTATACCTCATTTTCAAATGGACACATTTGAATGTTTAATTTTTTACACATCTTAAAGGGGATGCTTGTCAAAGTTGATGGCAAGAAATAAAGAATATTGGTTAATAGAGAAGGAAAAAGTCACCTAAATAGTCTAAATCATTTATGTTGCCACCATGTTTAGAATAAAACAGCAAACGTTGATAATATAAAAACAAAATTTTTTAGATGATTCTGTCTAACAAATGAGATTTCATCATGTAAAGGATTTTCTAGGCCATTAGAAGTTGAATGTAATATTAAATTTAGTATAAAATCGACCAGAAAACAGAAGACAACATGAAGACTAACCTATCTAACTAATTAAAGTCGTAGGGAAACGGCTGTTCCAACCGTTGCATTTCCGAATTCTCCGGCACGGTGCACGACTTTGCACAAGTGAATAAAGTGAATGTCATTGGTTGACTATCAAGGGGGTGGGATTTTTGTGGTGGAATATTCGAAAGTTTGGGTGTGGCCGGTTTCTCGGAAGCCTCTTGCTAACCAGTTAGCAACTTAGTACTAGTAAGTTCCCAATGGGAAATTCCATTGGGACCATGTAGCACTAAATTGGTGACTTAGAAACGACACTGTCAAGGAACGCTATGGGCAGAGGAAACATGCAAGAGGAGGAGAGTGTTGTGTCGGAGGTTGTGGATGAGTCTCCTCCATCATATATTTTTTGATTTAGAGGAGGAAAGCGGGGACGAAGTTGCAGTGGAAGAGGACGCCAGGGTGGCAGAAGCTTTGTTTGGTGTAGAGGGCTTACAGCCGTACATGTTTGAGCCCTTGCCTCGCAACGCTGCCAGTTCTGTTAGCTCTACGCCTGCCGAAGACACAGACGTCCATCCCTGTGAACACTGGGAATAACTCATTGGGAAAGGAAACGATTCTTATTTCAACTGTTGCATATATTAGCTGCAACATATGAATCAAGATGCTATGACTGAAAAAATGTGATTAACAGATGACCGTTGATATATGATTGGCCGAATGCAGGTTTTTAGATTTCAGATTTTAAGACATGATTTGTTTTTAAATAGAAATTTTCCAAATTTTGGGAAAATATCCTCTGATAAAGAGTACATTTATATACATGTTTAAGCCAGAATATTGTGACATTTAAATATGACTTCCCTACAACTTTAAGGTAACACTCTGTTTCTTAGCAACAGGCATTTTTATGTTTATTCTGTTTTTCTTTTTAGCATTCTAACGCACTTTGTGTAATTAAAAAGTAAAATACACCCTTATGGTTATGAAGTTAAAAGCACCTTGAAAAACGAAAAATAGACAATGTGTTTTGATTACAATGAGTCAGTGTGGTATTTAGAGTGACAATGACTCATAATGTACCTTAGCTTTCACTGTAAAGAGTCACATTAGATATAAAAGCTAGAATATTTCAATAAACTGCTGCTCTGAGCTTGTATTAGTCAGTTTGTCATTGAGGCAACTCCTTAACATATTTACTAACCTGGTTAAGGAAGAGGTCATTGATGTAGTAGGTGAGGAAGGCCCGGAGCTGGCACTGTTTGGCTTGGCTAGGTCCCATGTTCATCTCTATCTCCTGAATGAATCTAGGAACAGAAGTTAGAGTTATTAAATATTGAAACAAAACTAAACAAAGAGAGCAGTTTACAGCTAAAATGTTGGAAATTATTAACAGGATGGTGGGCAGAAACACAGACAAAGCTTTGAGTTTAGAATACTTTGAAGGGTAAAAGTCTGCCATGGGAGCTAATGTTGGAAAGCTATAAAGGTCTCTGGAGGTGTCTTTGTTGAAGGCTGTTCACCTAAAGTGCTCCAGTGGAGCGATGAGGCTTATTATGGCTCAATCTAACCATATTACTTAAAATGTGAGTTTACAGTGTATGTGTGTAAAAAAAGAAAAATCGGGTCATTGACGATCGTAAGAAGCTATAAACAACGACAGGGATGCAAAGCACTAATAATACAAAGTAATCTGGGGTACAGAGAGGCTGCTCTCAGGATTTTTTCCATACAGCTAAAGTCCGGTCATATCAGATGGGGTCAGACAGTAATATATGGGTTTGTAGAGGCACATACGAACATCATTTATCAGTGAATCACTGGTCACTGGCCTTGTCTAACACACACCACAGGGCAAACCATGCAAGAGTAAGTGCTTTCTCAAGCGCTCAGTCCATATAAAAGCACAAATAAATCAAACTCCTCAAAATATATTCTTTGACCTGGGAGACATTTAAAGTATGACCTAAACAACAACGAGAAAAATGTTTTGGTTGTCAAAGTGCTTGGGAAGAAGAAAAGGAAGGGAAATCTAGCAGAAGATAAACTCGGCACAGAAGTGATGCAATGGAGGGCTCTGGACAGGTAGTTAAGTATATGACCATCTTTAAAGAGCGAGAAACCACTTTTTCTGGGCTTCAGTAAAATAAAGTTGATGTGCGTTAATATAAGCAAGAACAGATGGGTTATTTATAATACAAAGCCAACCTCATATGTAAGTAGATGAATATA